CTTTGCTGTCCCACTGGGAATGGTAGGAGCTCCCTGGGAGTCCTCAGCATCTGCTGGGGAAGGAGAGGGGACAACAGCCCAGTGGGGAGGCCATAGGCAGTGGAGGAGAAAGGTCAGGTAAATGATTCGCTGCCCTCGGCGCAGGTTGCTCTCTGCCTCCAGTTTAATTGGTGAGGGAGTAACTGGCTGGGGCCTTTTCCCAGCATCACCAACACTGCTGTGGGCTGGGGGTCTTCCTGCTGGCACATCCCCATCAGCCCCAGGACCACCTTTCCCTGGGAACATGCTGCAGATCGTCCCAGGAGGTGTCTTCTGGGGATAAACCTCCTCCTGCTGCCCAGCATCGTCCCCCTTACCTACAGGCAGCAACGCTGCCTGGTCTGCCTCCCAGTTCCCAGCAAACTGCCCCCGGCTTTGCACGAGCCAAGCTGGGATTTGGGCGTGATCCCGGCCAGCTGACTTGGGGACCTGGCCATGCTGGAATGGGTGGCTGTGCCCTGCTTGAGAACAGGGTCACGGCAGCACGCGTGACCGTCCCCTCACCCCCTGGACGCAGCCATCCGGTGCTAATCGGGGCAGACGGGTCCCCCTCTCACCCAGCTAAATACTTGCACTGTTCCTCAGCGCCAACACGGTTGTAAGCTCTGTCTGTCTCCCGTTAATCACTAATTAAAGGCTTGAATGTTCCCTGCTGTTTGGGGTATTAATAAGAATTTAATTGCACAGTTTGGGGCTAATTACATGGTAGCTTGCTTCCGCCCTTGTACAGTATGCCCAATTAAACAATCATATGATCAATTAAACAATCACAAGATCTAATAATTTGTAATAATAGACTAATTAAACGGCGACACCTTGCAGTGGAGCAACCTTCTGTCTGCCTTTTGATGGTGTTTGAACCCTTGCCCAGGCCTTGGCCACCCCACAACCCCTTCTCCTCTGGGCTGCTCTGCTGTGGATGCAGGAGGCTGGGGCAATGGCAACAGGGGGTTTGGGGCAGGGACCCCAGCACCATTCACTAGGGCATTCACCCCTGGCAGACGATGGAGCACATGGGCAGGAGCAGTGCTCGCCGCCCCTACAAGTTCCCTGGGAATAATTAGCCAAGGCAGCCTGCTCAGCGAAACCCTAGACTGGCCGTTGCTGCCAACCCACAGCGGATTTGAACTACACCCCTGCTTTGGCTGGAGGAGAGCCCAGATGGGCTGGCGGGGCAGGATGGGGCTGCTTCTCCACCCCAGGGCTGGGAACCAGCCCAGCAAAGCCCCTTCCCTCCCATCTGCACTGCCCCTCCATTGTGGGGAAGGCGTTCAGAGAGAGGGGACAGGGCCCGCACTGGAGGAGAAGCAGAAGCACAGAGTCCTCTCCCAGGGGCTGTGAACTGAGGACAGGAGGACAAGGGACAAAGCTGAGCCCCTCCAGCCCTATCCTGGGAGCAGCAGGACTCAGGATGGTCACATGTTAATTTCCTGCACTGTAGTGGCTGCCTCCCCTCTACACTCCAGACCCACCGGGATGCTGTACCCCATGGGAGGCAGATGCCAAGGCAGGGGTGGCAGGGGGCTTCTGCTGCCTGCTTGCCCCCCTCCGAAAGCCACCACTCGCCCCCAGACTCTGTCCGGGGAAGGACCATGGCGGGTGCTGCTGGGCACCCACTGTTTTCCAGCCGATCTGCTGGGGAGAGGGCAAAGAGCACCCTGGGGTGCCAGGGATGCAGCAGGAGAAGGCACTACAGACGTGACTGCAAACAGGCCATGGGCAGCACAGATCCTACTCCATGGGAAAAAACGGCCCGGGCCCCTGACTGAGGAGTTGCTGGGGGCATTTCTGCATGGGAAGCGCTGAGGGGGAAAAAAACCAACACGTCCGGGAAGCGGCAGAAGACGTGGGGGAAGTACACGGGATCCTCTAAATCCAATCACCGCTGCAGGGATCGGTGTTTTCAGGCACTGGCATCTCGAATCAATTGCCACAGGCCCCCCAGCCAGAAGCGGAGGGAGCAGCAGGCAGCGAGGTCTTCCCAGGAGAGCGCAGCCCCTTCCCTGCCGAGCCCCCGGGATCAAAGCAAGCCCTGGGCATTATCCCGGGGCTCCGGGAGCGCTCCCGCCGCGGCGGCCACAAAGGGGACCAGAGCTCCCGCATCACCAGCGAGTGCATCAATTACTTCCAGTGGCTGCCCCGTGCTAATCCGCTTGCCCCGCTTCCCCGAGCCGGGGTTTTGGGGACAAGGGGGTGACGGGGCTGCCCCCAGCAGGTCCGCGTGTGCAGGCAGGGAGCGGCCGCGGCGCTGGGAAGGAGGAGCTGTCGGGCTGCGAGAATAAAGCTGATGCGTCACATCAGGGAGCTCGGGATTTCAGCGATCCTGCTCCCGCTGGCTGCTCTGCCGGGATTATCCTTCCCTGAGCCTGACCCAGGCTAAAAGCTGGAGGGACACACGGATGGGGACATGTGTCTCTCTCTCCTAACCTTCTCTTTCCCCTGTTTCAGGCAGAGCACTCCAAAAGATCCCAGTATTGGGAGGGCAAGCTCCCCACAGGACATGCAGTGGTTTTGGGGTATTAGGAGAGCCTCCTGTGCCTATGGAGATGGCTCCACCTCTAACCACCAGGTGTGGGGCCACGTACCCTGTGGCACTGAGCTGCCACTGGGCCCTCTTGCCAAGCTAGCAGTGTGGGAAATCCCGTCACTGTCCCCAAATCTGCCTACTTGCCAGGCCATTCTGATCCTTGAAACATGGTGGTGTCCCTGTGGACACCACAGCCACCCCACGGCAGCTGTCACCCTATGACACGGCACAGCACCCCTGTGCTTTCCCCACACTTGCCAGAGGCAGAAATTCTTGTGAAATAAGAAAAATAAATCCTCGCCTCCAGCTGCATGGATGGATGTCCCAGCACCATGACATGGTGCTGTCAGTTTGTCCCCATGCCAGAGCAGGTAGAGACTCCAGTGGGGGAGAAGCCACCACGCAGGGTTCTGGGGAGCACAGACCCAAGAGGTGATACCCCAGCACCACCTGAAGCTGTAGCAGGCCCATGGCTCCACCTGGATCCACTTTCAGGGTGCTGCAGCTCCCCAGCCCTGCCCCTCAACCAGCCCCAGGTCACCAAGCTCCGGCACCCACCTACCCTCCTCCTGCTCACCCCTGCCCAGCCACACGTGACCATCCACCACCACCAGCCATTGCCCCCCATGACCAGCCACAGGACACAGGCCGAAACCCTGTAGCCCCCAGGCTGAGCAAAGGGAACTTCCCGGGCGGCCTCTCCTTTTAATTGGTGCTAATTGCTGCATCTGTTCTTGCTGGCTGGGGCGATGTCATTGTTGAAAGGCACAGAGGGGAAGGCTCGGGGAGCTAATCCAGCTTTCAGCCACTAAGCCCTTCGGAGGCGGGTGATGGAGAAGCCCTTTCAGGTCCCTTCAGAGAGGGCACAAAGCCCGAGAGGGGAAAGGGAGAAAGAAGGGGAGCAAATCAACAGGAAAAAAACGACTTTCACACGCAGCTCGGGAAGGGTGTTTGTGCTTGGGGCTGGACGGGGGGAACTTGAAGGGACCATGCTGCACCCCCACCTCCTCTTGTCTCCCTGGTTTATCTTTTCAGCCCCCTCTGCCAAAAGGGTGATGCAGGGGGGCAGGGATGCACAGCCTGAGAAGTGGGACCCTCGGCCCTGTGATGGACAAGATGGACAGACAGATAAGAGATCTGCAGATGCTCCTCCAAAATGAGCCCGCTCAGGTTTAACCCCTTTTGTGCTGGCAGAGCCCCCCTTGCTGCCATCACACTGCTTTACTGAGGGATTCAGTGGCAAGGCAGATATGGGGTGGGGTGTCTCAGGGGAGGCACCCATCAGGCTGGGGTCCTCCTTTTGTCCCAGGGGGTTTCCAGGAGCTGCCCCCACCAACTGGAGCCCTCCCTTGACTGACCTGCCAGGGGCAGGGTGCAGAGGTGAGGGGGCTTTTTTCTGAGGTTTGCTTCAAAACTCATTTCAGGCAAGGGGGAAAATGCAAGGGCTGACACATTCCCACAGGGCATGAAGTAGGTTAAAGTGCTGGCTCCAGCACTGGCTTTGAACCTGCTGTCTTTTTTGCTGTTCTTAGAAGAAATCCGCTGTAACACATACATATATTTAAGCTGACAGCTGGGATCTGAACAAGACATTGATCACAAATACTAACAAGTCCCTCTGATCTCTTACACATCCACTGAGCATTTCAGGGGCTGGTTAATGGTTCAGCTTTCCACTGTCTCCATCCTCATGTTGCCCCCCGGGACCTGGGCTCTGGTCCAGGAGAAGCGAGAGGCTGGTTCTCCCTCTCCCAGACCAGGGCTCTGGCATTCCCCGACCCCATTCCAAATCAAGACAAAAGGCAAAAAACTCCAACAAAACCCCAGAAAGGTTCATGAGTGGGACAGCCAAATGATACCAGTTGAATGTTTCAGAAAGGTTTCATTTCGACGACAGTGTTTTTGACTCATGGAAACCTTTGCAAGGACAGACATGATGAAACTGCCACACAAAGCACCATGCCAGCCCAAACATGGATGGTAACATGTTGAATCAGGGTATCTCAAGCATCTCCTAATCCCTGCCAGGTTTTGCTGCCTGCTCCATGCCCCAAAGCACATCTGGCAGGGGACCCCTCCCAGCCTGGGGCCAGCTGGTTTGCTGCCCAAGGGGAACACCCTCAGCCAGGCATTCCACGTCCCACACTGAGGTTTGTAGACCAGCTGGAACACACCGGTGAATTTTTTGAGGGTTTTGGTGCTTTGGCTCATGGCTGAACCACCACAACTCGGAAGGAGGGCACCCCTAGCAGAGACAGGGCAGATGTTGGAGCTGTTCCCAGCTCTCCAGTGAGGGGGATGCTCCCAGCATCTCCAGACAAACACACTCAATCACTTCAGCACCCATCGCTTCCTCCCCCAGTGATCCATTTTGGGGTTTCAAGCCCCAGAAAAATACAAAAACAAAACCCCCAAAACCTAGCAATTCACTTACCCAGACACTCGTTGGCCTCACGGGCAGTGGCCCGTTGCCAGGGCCGGTCATAGTGGAAGGGCTTGCAGCGGTCACACTCGGGACCCTCCGTGTTGTGCTTGCAGTCACACACCAGCTTCTGCTCTTTGTCCTTGACGCAGCGTGCCGCGTGCCCGTTGCATTTGCAGCGCCCGCCAACCTGCAGCTCCCCCACCGAGTAGTAATAGGGGGTGGAGCTGGTGGCCCCTTCCTCCTCGCCAGCATCCCGGCCGCCCAGGTCACGGAAGAGATGTGGGCGGCTGAAGACCACGCGGATGTCAGTGGCTGTCACCCAGTCCTGCAGGACAGGGCTGCTGTCAAAGTCCTGAGCAGAGGGTCGCCCGTCGAGGGTGCTGAAGGCAATGAGCCCACCCGTGAGGGGGTAGAGGTCAGTGAGGCCATCGGTGCACAGGGCCTCCTGCTCATTCTGCTTGGTGACGGTGGCTTTGCTGGGCTTGCCATAGATCTTACGGCACTGGGAGGAGTAATACTGGTAGGGCACCCATGTCTTGCCGTAGTCCATGGACTTGAGGATGGCAGTGGACTCAGGCCGGGGGGAGCAGAACTGGAGGCTGACGTAGACAACCTCAAACTTCTTGCCGAGGGAGAGGGTGAGCGTGACGTTCTGGGGGGAGTGGTGGAGGGTCTCTGAGCGCCAGCACGTCATGTTGGAGGCGGTGTTGAGGTCGGTCAGGTAGGCAGGCGGGTGGGCTCGCCGGGGGTCTGAGGCATCGCAGTGACGCGTTGGGGGCTTCCCGCATGTGCTGGAGGCTTGGACCTCCTTCCCAAAGGCAGCGTTGACAAATTCAGGGATGCAGCGGCGGGGAGCGCCGCTCTCATCATAGCAAGGGTCTGGAGGGGTCTGCTGGGCTACAAAGGGGTTCACTGTCTGGGAGAGACCCAGCATGGTGGTGGTGAGGAGCAGGCGTAGAAGCTGCAGGACCTCCATCCTCCCTGGGGCAAAAGAAAAGAGAGCAAATGGCACTGGGAGAGGCTGCGGCACTACTGGGAGAGCTGGAAAGGGATGGGAAACATCCCCCTCGACCTCTGCCCACCCTCTCACCCCACATCTACTGCTGCTGCCTCCTGGGAGTGGGACAGGGAGGCAATGACTTGGCTCTTCCTCATCCATACCAGTCCCTTGCTACTGTTCAGGTCCTACTCTAGAGCCTTTTTCAATAGGCAGGAGCTTGTCAGGATGAAGCCTCCAGGCTCAGCTGGGGCTCCTGACTCCAGCACTGCTTCCTCTGGAAGGCCTCAGCCTCAGCAGCATCCCGCTGGCCACAGTGGCTTCTCTGATCTGAGAGCTTGATGGCCTCCAGATCCCACTGCCACACTACTAAAGTGACACACTATCCCACTGGAAAACTGTGACTACTCTGGTTCTTCTCCAAGAAACCCTGGTATGGGGCTGGCCTGTTTATTAATGCAGGGAAAAGCAAGGCCCAAACAGGACTTGGCTGGTCACCTCTCCTTGCAGCTGCAGTGCAGGGCCTATGGGTGCTGGCTGGATCTCAGGGGACATAGCCACTCTCCCACGCTGCTGTGTTGGAGAGTGGAAGAGAGACCAGAGGTCTTGTCCCCTCCCATCAGCTCCAGCTGCTGCAGGAGCATCCCATGAGATGCAGATGGGCCCTGCCCCATCCTGAGTAGCCCATGACCACAGCTCACATCTTCCCTGGAGAATGGTCTCAAGCACAGCAGCTGGTGGCAGAGCCCTGAGCTGCCTGGCTGGGGGATGGCACCAGCCCTAAAGAGGCTTGGCTGGAGGGGCTGTGCTGAGCCCTGCAAGCCCCAGCCACTGAGCTGAACTCTCAGGTGTCTACCAGCCTGTGCTATGGCCAGGGAAGGTAGACAACATCTCCTCATCACCCCCTCACCCACTAGTAGAACCTTACAGGGTGACTTGGGTTTTGCACTTTGCTCTGGGGAGCAGAACCTGATGCCAGCAGCACGTTGCTGCCCTTGTACAGCCCCAACACCACTCCTGCCTGTCCAGCTGCCCACCCAGCCAAAGGAAGGTGGCAGGGAACCACCTGTTTCAAATGATCTGGGATTTTTTTTTTTTTTGGTTGGTTGGTTTGGTTTTGTTGGTTGTGGGGTTTTTTGTTGTTGTTGTGTTGGGTTTTTTTTCCTTTTTGGAAAAAGAAAAGAAAAAGAAGAACTGTAAGAAAACTGCCACTCTCCAGGTTGCCAAACTGCTAATGGGGGAAAGCTGCTCCATTCCCAGCCACGCTCAGCCAGGCAGCCAGCACCACTGCCCACGAGTCCCGAGGGGGGACAGGAATCTCAGCCCATCCCTGGACATTTCCCCCAGGACAAACCCTGGCCTTGCCCCCTTTGCACCGTTTCCTCACTGCTTAATCCTCTTCTGATGGAAAAGGAGATGTTCACTGCTGAAAAACTGGCAGCTGCCTTGGTGGTCCCTCCATCCCCAGCGGTGTGTCCCCTGTGATCCAGCTGTGCTGCTGAGCCCTCTGGGGACATGCCAGCCCACGGCTCTGTGGCTGGACAGCTGGTAGGCAGTAAGACAAGGAATGCTGTCCCTAGAGCACCTGCAGTTCTGGAATCTCTGACTCCTGCCCCTTCAGCCCTGGGGTGCTGCCAGCTCCCTTGTCATCCCCATCCAACCACACACCCCACTGAGGGTGACCGAGCTGGGTGCAGTCACCACCACCTCCTGCCCCACCAGCCCCAGGGCAGCAAACAGCAGGGGGACAGCAGACCTCTGCACTGGTGGGAGGGAGGAGAAATGCCTGGGGATGCCCCAGCAGCTGCCTCATCCACCACAGGATGACTCAGGGTGCATAAAAAAAAGTTCTCACTTAACCCTGCCAAGGAGATGTCTCCTCTATCCACCATGTCTGTGCTACATGGGGCAGTAAGGGGACACAAGTAGGGCCATGCTCAGGTGGGCCACCTACAAAGGCCTTGGAGTTCCCCATTTGAGAAAACATGGAAGTGCTGGGAAACCCCTGCCCAGGGAAGAGAGACAGTATCAGCACCCGGTGGTGGCACAGGGAGAGGCCAGAGGTGAAGGTGCTGTGGGCAGCAGGGCTGGGACCTGGACTGGGGTCACCACTGCCTTTGGGGCACATGGAGGGCACAAACACCTCTTGCTCATCCTCCCTGCCCCAGTGGGAAACTCTGCTCCTCCCACCAGCCATCCCAAAATGGGACAAGCCCCAACAATTCAGCACCCAACTTTTCTGGGGGCTCTGCTCCTGCTGGGGGCAGCCAGGGCCAGCCCAAGCAGCACCCGGGCACTGTGGAGGCAGGGCATGAATGGAAATCATTATCATCAGCAGGACCACACACAGGCACACACGCTCCGCGCTCTGCTCACCCCATTATCCCGCTGAAAGGGGCCGGGGCCGGTGGTCCCCGCAGCCCTCACCTCCGTACCGGGGAGGAGGGCAAGCTGCAATCTGCTCCCTTTTATGCATATTCAGCGTGACCCCAGGACTGCCGGCAACTTGCCAGGGAGGCCCGCGAGTGGGTATTTCTCTCCCTGCCCCCATCTGCCCTCCTCTTCCCTCTTCCCATCTTTGCTGCCCCCGGCTCAGATCAAACAGAGCTGCTGCTGACTAAGCAGGGAGCGTTGGGATGAGCCCCTCGGTGCCGAATCCGGCCCAGCACCCACCTGGAGCTGGCACAAGGAGGGACATAAGCTGTGGGGTGCATCTCCCAGGGACAACACCCCAAGGGAGTCCCCAGAGGGGCTGCCGGACGGCTGCCAGCTTCAGGGGACCCCGCAGCGGGGCTCACCCTTCCCGAGGAAGTGGCTCCCCTCCCGGCTCCTCCCCAGAAGCGGCTGCATTTTTGAGGTGGGCGATTTCCTCACTCCTCCGCTCGGGGAATGCTAACAGCCGTGCGGTTTGGAAGGAAGTCACGCCGCCGTAGCGCTTCAGAAGGGCTTTAAAAAAAAAAATTAGCTACCGCATCCAACTCCTCCACACCCCTTCTCCCTACAGCAACAACCTTCCCAAAGCGACTGGCGGCGTTTCCTGCCTTGGGGAGGCTCGGCGGGGCGATGCTCCCGCCCGCTGCCCCTTCCCTTCCCCATCACCTTCCCAGGAGCAGCTCTGCCGACAGCGATGCTGGACACCGATGCACACCCAGAGCTCCCAGCCCCCTGCCCCTGAGCCATCAGGTGGGTGCTTGGTCCCCAAAACTGAATGCATGAGACAGGTGCAGCAGGTAAGTCAGGGCAAAGAGAGCAAACTTCCCCAAATACGGCTGCTGGTGCTTCCAGCAGGCCCAGGGTCACCACCCAGCAGACTGGGGCAGCGGCAGCTTTGCTGCTGTAATTACAGGATTAAGTGGAACAACACGGGGTGGGGAGGGAAGGAGGTTATTAGCCAGATTTGATCCCAGGACCTTTGTGGCCTGGGAGCAGCCTTCTCTAATTAAAGCAGAGGGGGAAGGCGTGAGGGCCTGAGCAACACTGCTCTGCAGCCCTGGGCTTGGATGGAAAAATGTGGGTTTAAAGGGCAGGTGACGGGTAAAGCCAAGCAGCCAGCACTGCTGGGGAGGGGAAATCCCTGAGGGAAGGCAGGGAAATGGTGCTTCCCTCTTGCTGGTGACCTGTGCCACTCCATGTGGCTTCTCCAATGCTGCTGGTGTGGTGCTGGCCTGGTTTCTCCTCTGGACAAGGGCAGGACTCTGCAAGGGGTGTTTTGCATCCCCTGAGGAGACATGGAGCTGGTTGGATGGGGATGCCTGGTCTCCACGAGGTGCTGCATCACCCTCTGCACAGGAGTGAGGTCCCAGGTACCAGCATGGAGCAGGGACAAAGTCACCCACCTGCATGGGGCACCAAATGGCTCCTTGCAGCATGGTACAACGACGGGGCTGCAGGCAGAGGAAGCTCAGACAAGGACCAAGGGACCCAAGTACTTGAGGAAACCCAGTGACTAGATCCAAAGGGCTCAGGTAGGGCCAATTCTTGAGGACTCCACATCCCTGATCTGTGCCATCCCGAGTAAGCCCACCTGCTCAGTGCCCTTTGAGCAGGTCATGGGAGTAACATGAAGAGACCCAAAGCAGAAGAGGAATGATGTGCTCACAGAAGCTGTAACCAGGTACTAATGACCAGAATGTGTCCCTTAATCAGGATGTATCTGCTACCAGACCCTGCACATTCCCACCTTATTACATCTTTCTAATGGGGGCATCCTGCTCCCTTGCCATGTGCGCTGCAGCTGCTGGGGTCCCTGGGTCCCCACCACTTCTCTACCCTCTGCAAGCACCAGTCCCTGCCCCACTGCACCAAAGCCAACCGGGGGACACTTTGTCCCCCCACTGAACAAGCAGAAGGCGTCAGGACCAAACTGTGCTCTGGCCATGGATAAATCATTCCATGTGTTGCTGGGACAAAAAAAAAAACCCACAACCAAGAATTATTTAAAATGAAACGAAAAACTTCATGCAGCCAAGGCATGGGGACCAGGCACAGCTTTCTGGCAGGGGCAGGGAGAGGCTGTTGGGCTGTGGCACAGAAGGCAGCACTGCTCACCCTCCCAGCCACTAATGGAGCCACCAGTGCCCACTTGGGACACAGCTAATGTCACCGAGATGATGCCTCACTTTTCTTTACTATCTCTCTCCTCTCTTCTGATATTGAAATATCAGGAGCTTCTAAGGGCTACAGACCCACAGCCATGGGGCCAACCACTCTGCACAACCCCTCGGGCTGTCAGCCCCAGGCCCCCAAAGGACACACAGCTCACATGGGTGACAACAAGGCAGCATCTTCCTGCAGTGACAGATACTGCGATGCACTCTGGCAGGCTGGAGCCAGCATGACACAAGCCATACGATACCCCAGCAGTGCCAGGAGACACATACAAATTACACTGCATGCAGGAAAGGATGGGCCAGATTCTGACCTCAGCCCCTTTGGCATCAGCCAGAAGTAACTCCATTCAGATTGGGCCAAACCAAGAC